AAGCAAGGAAGCAAGGGAGCAAGGAAGCAAGGAAGCAAGGGAACAAGGAAGCAAGGAAGCAAGGGAGCAAAGAAGATATTTCCTGTCTTCTAACCTGTGTGGTTTCCAGTCATTCTCGATGATTCCCGTGCTGTTAGTGAGTGTAGCATTGAACCAGGGACACTCCTGTACGGATCTTCTACCAGGGTACTTGTTGGGAGGGTAGATAATAGATCCTAGAAATACCCATGTCGTCATACCAGCACCCACAAAGATCCCTGCGTATGCTCCCTATACATATACATCGGTTAAGAAATATCTATCTTAGTTTACTTTAGCTCATGCCTTTATGTCATAAACATATTACGCGTGTATGAGAATAGACCTCTTCGGCTCTGACGTAATGTTTTCCCATTTCAGATTACATGTCATTCCCTAGAGTATCATTTCTTTGTTTAATGGTTGCGCATGAGGAGACACATGAATATGGATACAACTCAAACATTGAATCTTATTCTCAAGATAATGACACGTGGTCTGAGATGGGAAAACATTACCCCAAGCCGAAGAGGTCTATTAATGAATGATTAAAGAACGCAGTTGCACCAAAAGGAAATATATTTTGCGCGGGTTGGTAATAGGAGCTAAAGCAACATTCGCTCTCCAAGTTGACGCAGGCCACTGCCATATTACCACACGTTTGTCTCATGACCCCGAAGGTCAGGGTCAACATACGGGTATTTGGGTAGATGTACCGTCTTTTACCTTGTAATTTGCTCTTCTAACGAACATGCCAAGCAAAAAGATACCGAGGAGAGGACCACCGCAAATACCGAAGATACTGTATGCAAGCTGCAAGAACAAGAAAAGATGGCTATCAATTTTGACAAATCAGATTTTGAGTATCATATTCGATCAAACGAATACGACATCCTAGAACTGCGATACACAACACTGTGCGTAATTAAGCTTCGTATGTCAAAATGACGCACGCGTTTTATTTGGAAGGCGATCAAAGGGCGTCTTTTTAGCGACAGGCCACTAGCTTTTTTCAGTCAATATTTTCTCAAAGCAAGTCGGCTGGCGAAGTCAGCCGTACAATCACCGCGCTTTTTATATATCATGTGAAACGTCTGACCAATCATACTACGCCTTTCATCCTGTCTGGTTGGTTAAACGTTGGTCCAATCATAACGCGCCTTTTATCATGTTATATATCGTTGTGAACCAACCACAGCTTGTGTCTTATATATTCTACTCACCTGTAGTACCATTGTTCCTACATATTTTACGACAAACGCGCCTCCAATGACAATCACACCAAAAGACAGAGCTAATGACAAAAAGATATATAATAAATGAATCGCAAACAAAGCAAGAAGTGCGCAAGCTAGATTTATCGTGTAAATAATAGTTTACTTTAGCTATAACCCGGTTCAATTACCAATAACTTTGCAGATTTTCGCCTGATCTGCATCTGATATATCACGCATCTTCTTTTTGATGATATCTTCAAGTATGACTAGAGCCATGGCGTTCAAAGCTGACGACGCAGTGCTAAGAAGTTAAAGGAAATGTTTTCAACACAAGGTGAAGTACGCCGGTCAGGCGCGCGCTACTAATGTCGCACCTCTCACTAACTGGGTCTTGGATTTGATCCTTTGATCAGTCGTTTAATGTGAGCAGACTTTTTTCCGGGTTCTCCGATTTTCCTTCACCGCAAAAATTAACACGAGGGCCACAGCTGCAGGTTGGTAATTGTCCTTCAAGAACTATGGAAACCGTACCTATTGGCCATGCGTAAGCCAGGCGTGACTAAGATCTAAGCTGTATGGTATTAGAATAGTAAAAGATGTATCTAGATTTAAGACCTACCTTAGTGCGCCTGCGTAAAGACAGGCGGTAAACATTCCCGGCAGCCCTTGCAAGTGTCCAAGTTTATTGATGACGAAATATGGAAGAACCTGAAACAGCATTTTTCAAAATGGTTAAACTTCGATAAATTGATTTATGTTATGATATTGGCCCGAGTGAACGATAAATATAGTTATACTTATTATCCAGCTATTTCATATCCGGTGGTAGCCCGAGTAAAATCATGTGTAATTTCAAGTCAAATTATTCACCTGGTCGTTGCTTGTAATTTTTTTGTCTTTTCTAAGATCACATCCCGCGTAAACAGCAAAGATGACTAGACCATCAAGACAGCATAACGTGACGATGAAGAGAAGACCAGGGACGTTTAGCCAAACCACCCTAAAACAAGATAGTATTAGTTAAATTCGTAGCCTTATTCATTGGCGTCTCTTGTTTTCTCTCTACGATATCTTTCTGGTGGGTTACCTGTGCCCATACTGTTTGTGAGAGAGACTGGTGTTAAAGAAAATTTGTTTCATTTCACCAGGAGTTAGGTAAGCCCACCTCAAAAAACAAAAACGGTTTGACCGGTTTTTCAATTTCTATACTTACTTTCTCGCTGCGGCGGAGGTCGGTACAGATAGGAATCTCTGTACAGCGGTCTGACTGACCGTCCAGACAGGCATTGCGGTTAATGCACCTCCAAGGGTCAAAGTCCAGAATGTGCTGCGAACCTTGGGGTCTGGGTTGAAACTGAGTAAAAAATACATTTTTATAACTATGGGAGAATATCACTATGACTGACTGACTGAGTGGCTGACTACTTACTCAAAGAACGTCATTCTGCCGAAATCCTCATTGATTTGCCATACTTTGGACAGTCCTCCCACCTCAATGCTGCCAACAATGACCACAATGATCAATCCTGCTACCATGACAACGGACTGGAACACGTCTGTCCAGATGACAGCCTTTAGACCACCCTGTGAAAGAAAGTGACAATGGAAGGACTCAAATGATGATGGATGGACACGTTATACGATGATGACGGCGATGATAGAGTGGTGGTAATGATGATGATGATGATACAACATGATGATGATGATGATGATGATACATGATGATGATGATACATGATGATGATGATACATGATGATGATGATACATGATGATGATGATACATGATGATGATGATACATGATGATGATGTTGATACATGATGATGATGGTAATAATCGATGATGATTATGATGATAAAGATAATCAACCAATGCTTACCAGGCTTGTGTAGAAGGTACACACAATACCAGTAGTGAGAATCGAGGCAGACAGTGGAATACCAGCAACTACAAGAGGAATAAATAAACATCAGCAAGGTTAATAGGCCAACCTCTATTAAACGACCAACCTCTAGTAACCGACCACTGTAACTAAGTCTATTTAGCACCAACCGTTTCCAAACAGGCCCTGTTACTAACAAATCCACTAAAATATAAAACGACCATCCTTTACCTAATTTTAATCATAAACCTGAAGGTTTCTTACCACTGGAAAAGTTCAATATAAATATACCAGGCCAATAGACGCAGATCACATCGTTACTACCACACAACATAATGTCTTACCTGCTTCAAGAGCCAATGAAGGAGCATAGAGAACCACAAACAGATACAAGGTCTTTGAGATAAATAAATAGAAAAAAATAAGATCGGTCTTAGCGTTTATTACTGCAGAGAATAGTCTGTTTGTTTGTTAGGCTGCGTTTGTTTTTCAATGTCCTTTTTCAACAGGAAAAAAAAAAAAAAAAAAAAAAAAAAAAAAAAAAAAAAAACACCTGAATTTGAGAATGGTAAAATAAGTTGCAAAAACAATAGATAAACCAACAATATCAGTGTCCTTATAAGGTATGGCGGCCATTTTGAAACGCGACCACGCCTTGTCATGAGAATGAGTCTGTAAGCAAGATGGTTGCAGCAATGACAGACTTTCAAGGAACCATTGCTGCTTGGTTTTACCGGTAAATAAACCGCTATTCAAGCGCTGTTTAACCCTCTGAATGCTTTAAGCCTCAGTTTAAAGTGCACATGAACCCTTTGACAATACATTCAGTACCGGTTCTGCATAAAGTAAATAGTTGATTGGTAAAATATTTCTTGATTTGAG